TTCGGCGGCCAATTATATCAGTGCATCCCGAGTATAAACCCATATTTTATTCACAACATAAAATAAAAAATATATCAAATGTTTAAACTGAGATAATGTACAATTGTTGATGGACTAATGTCTTTATTCAACCTCAAATACTATGTAACTATGTTTAAGAAAAAAAAAAGTAAGGTAATTTTGAAGTGGATGGCAGCAACACGTCTCAAAAGTTGGGCAACAAAAAGCTGGCAAAGTAAGTGGTACTAGCAAGGAAGAGGTGGGAGAACATTTTGCAGCTAATTAAGTGAATTGGCAACAGGTCAGGTCATGTTGATTGGGTATAGAAAAAGCATCTTAGAGTCGGAGTGTCTCAAAAGAAAAGATGGGTAAATGTTCATCAATCTGTGAAAAGCTGCGTCTAAAAATTGTCGAACAATTTCAGAATAATGTTCCTCAATGTAAAATTGCAAATACTTTAAATATATCTTCAACAGTACATAATATCAAAATACTCAGAGAATCTGGAGAAATCTCTGTGGACAAGGCTGAAACGCAATATTGGATGCCCATGATCTTGGGGTCCTCAGACAGCACTGCATTAAAAACTGGCATGATTTTGTGATGGACACTACTAAATGGGCTCAGAAATACTTCCAACAATCAGTCTGTGAACACAGATTGCCGTGCCATCCAAAAATGCAAGTTAAAGCTGTATCATTCAAAGAAGAAGCCATATCTGAACATAATCCAGAAACACCGCCATCTTCTCTGGGCCAAAGCTCATTTAAAATGGTCTGTCGCAAAGTGAAAAACTGTTCTGTGGTCAGACGAACCATGGGTGGTGCACCCTCCGGACTAAACAGGAGAGGGGCCTTCTGGCTTATCAGCGCTCAGTTCAAAAACCTGCATCTCTGGTGGCCTGCATCTCTGATGGTATGGGGGGTGCATTAGTGCGTATGGAATGGGCAGCTTGACATCTGGAACGGCACCATCATTGCTGAAAGATATATCCAGGTTTTAGGGCAGCATAGGCTCCCATCCAAACAACTTCTTTTTCAGGGAAGGCCTTGCATATTTCAGCAGGACAATGCTAAACTGCATTGGATGCATTGCTTTGTAGTGGAAGAGTCCGAGTGCTTAGCTGGCCTGCCTGCAGTCCAGGCCTTTTACCAATTTAAAATGTTTGGCGCATCTTGAAACAAAAAATTCAACAAAGACGACCCAGGGCTGAGCAATTTGAATCCTATATCAGGCAAGAATGGGACATCATACCTCCTCTTAAAACGCCAGCAAATGGTCTCCTCAGTCCCCAGATGTTTACAGAGTGTTGTTAAGAGGGGATGCTACACCGTGGTAAACATGGCCCTGTCACAATTTTTTGAGACATGTTGCTGCCATACTCTTTAAAATTACTTAATTTTTTTTGTTGAAATGGTACATTTTCTCAGTTTAAATTTTCTATATGTTCCCTATTTTCTATTGTGAATAAAATATGGGTTTATGAGATTTGCAAATAATTGTATTCTGTTTTTATTTAAATTTTACACAGCGTCCCGACTTTTTTGCAATTTGAGGTTGTAAAAAAATGTCAACTACCATCTGTTTATTCTACAGAACATCTGCTTTCAGAAAATATATATTTTATGGTGGAAAACAAAATGTGAAACATTTGGTCCGGCAGTGAAGGGGTTCAAAATAACACTTTAAGCAATTGGGTTCAGACACATTTTTGTCCTTGCTGTGCTCAGTTCCAATGGTACAAATGTAAAGAGTTTGATGTCATGTGGAAGGCCTGTGAGAGTCTCTAATTTAACGGTACCGGGTTACCAAAATGATTTGACTGACTTGGACATCTGAAATACAGTGGTTATATAGTTTAAAAATTGACTGTTTTGTTAAGCTTTTAGTCTGGAGTTTAAGTTAAATATTTGCTGGCCAAAATTTCCTGTCACTAAGATTAACTTTTTCTATTACTTATTTATTTTATGGTAATTCTCATAATGTGAAACTTTTAGCCTGTTGTATTTTTATGATTCTAGTTTGTCAGTTCTTTGCTTTTCTTTTTCTTCAGTTGTTCGGGCCTTTTGTGCTTAAGTCATTTTACCTAATCATTAAACACCTGCAGAGAGAGGGAGAGAGTGTAAGTGTCACAATGTCACTATGGCAGAATTGTTGGCACTTCTTTGCCACAGTACAGTAGAGATGAGAAAGAGAGCGTAAAAGACGGTCAAGCCAAAAACAGTCTAAAAAAAGCATTATATCCAATGCAGTGGTGTCGCTACAGGGGGGTAAGGGGGGTCAATTCCTCTCCTGCTGACAGCCGCACGATCGTCTTCATTGCAGCAGCTGACCGCAATAGCCAGCCTGCTATTGGCTCTTTTAAATTGCCCACCACTGTCAATCAACAGAGGTGGACCTGATGGAACTAAAAACAAAACATTGCAGATGGTATGGAGCCACGCACAGCCACACAACTTTAAAAAAAAAAAGCAGCCTCTGGGGAGAAGAACCCTGCGATACAGGTGGGGGGGTTGCAATTTGACCATGTTACACCCTAGCAATGAGCAATGTGGTCCAGGCTAGTGCTAGCACAAGGATGTATAGACAGCCAACTGCACCGCTACAGATGCGGCTCTGTAATCGAGCGGCCGCTCACTCCTAGAGGGGGCCTTCAAGAGCCACAGCGGGCTGCTCTCTAACATGCCTTCAAAAATTGAAAAAAGGGCCTCAGTCATGAAGGGGTTAAGGTTGCTTTCACTGACCAAGCGGCAGGCTATTGGAACAGGGACTTGTGGTCAGGGGAGGCTGGTGAGGCAGAACCTCACCTAGTATTATGGAGGAAACAGCTGTCGGCTTCAAGTCTGAAGCTGACCGCTTTTTCTGCATTCAGAGTGGCTTGTTACAGGTTACACAGTGGGGAAATCCTGCCCGCGGTGTAACCTGTTATGGACGGATACCTGGTGTCTTCTGGCTATTTTCTGGTTTGGCAGGATTGACGCAATAAAAATGTCTTTATCTAAATTGGTGTATTTGTATATCCTGCCCATTACTGTCCCGAATCGCATATTCAGGATAGCAGGGTAAGCTTTTAAAATTTTTATCTGGCATCCTGCTGGGACTAGAATAGCAACCTCTGTTCTGTATCATCCTAAACTTGTCTACGGTGCTTGGGGGTCCTGAATATGCTGACCTATTATACAGCGGAACAAATAGTTCTGTTTTGCTACATGCCACCCAGAAATTCCCCGTGAGCTTGCATGACTATTGCGGAAGCTTTCCCCATCCTTATTTTACAACCTAATCTGGCTCCCACCACATCATCGGCCTGTATTCCTGGATCCCAATTTACGACATGCCCTGTGCCCTATGGGATGCAGTTAAATTTGTTCGTTGACTTAATCTCTGCTCATTTGCTGTTGGCTGCTATTTTTCAGTCCAGGGTACATGGAACCGCCCGCTTTGCCTATTTGCTTATTTTACCTCAAGGGCATTGAGACATTTTTGCAACTTAAGAGAACCTGTAAGCTCCCAGACTTGGAACTGTTCAGATATTTACAAATTAAGCTCCTTGATCAGGGACAAGACTGATGCGCCCTTGTTACCTCTTTTGAGAGTAGATGGCTTAATGATCCCAACTCCATGAGCCTCGTTTGCTATAAAAGGAACTCTATGCCTTCCATTCCTCCCCTAAGCTTTCCTATGTTTCCAAATGGGAACAGGTTTTGGGTACTACGGGGTTCCTATACTTGAATGGAGCGTTAACTGTGGATGCATTTTTATTGTACTTTCTTATAACCTTGAAAACTCAGAATTCAGTGCAGGGATCAGGAGTACAATGTACAAGAGTGTTTACAGTGTAGGTGTCGGGCATATACTGTAATGTACAAGATGGCGAATGCAGTGCTGAGTATAGGAATATAATGTACAACTTGGTGAATGCAGTGCGGAGGTCAGGACTATGTACTGTATATACTTAAGCCGAGGGGGGCACGTTTCAGCCCAAAAAATGGGCTGAAAAACTCGGCTTATACTCGAGTATATACGGTAATAAGTTACAGCACTGTGTAGGGAGTGCAGTGATCACTAATATTGTGCCCTTTACTGCCAGTCAGTGGGAGACTATCTGCCCCAAAGTAGTTGTAAGAAAGTGAAGTAGTAGACCCACCACACACACCGCTAAAATAAAATAGCGAGTAGGTAGGTGTAGGTGCACATTGTGAATGAACTAAACTCAACTTTCTCCTAACCAGCTCTTTCACTGCTTTCTCTTCACAACCTTCATCCAGTCCAGGACCCAACTTCCTCCCTAAGAAGGCACTATCATGCCCCCCTCCACTGAATTGCCTTGCAGTGGTGGACAATTTTGCATACACAAATCTTACTGTGGCACCCAAAACAGCAACTCCTTAATATGCAAATTATTTGCACATGATTGCAAATTATTTAGCAAAAATTGAAGGCATAACTTAATGGGTGCAGGAGTGACTATAGTAAGATGATCATTGGGAAGGGAGAAATGTGACGAAGTGGATTTTGGTTAGAAAGCAAAGAAGGGTGATGTGGGACAAAGCCTCTGTAAACGGGACTGTTGGGATGTAAGCCATAGTATTGTAAGAAACTGACACAAATAAAAGCGCCATGACTTAGCCCTTAATCAGACAGTAATAAAGTGCAGGAGCTTGTGGTAACCATCCAGGACATCCAGACTTTGGATGTCTGTCACTTGGTAAACTGTCTCTACAGTTGGAATTGATTGATTAAGCTTGCGAATGAGACTATTCATTGTAGGTGAAACTGCAGAAACAGTACAAAATTAAAATGACAAAAGACCCAATGCAATTCATCTTCCAGTAACGGTTTCTGTTCTGTCCTTTCTCTCCTTTTTCTATTGACCTGTGCTAAAGCTTATGAGTCATGTCTGCAAATGAAGGCTGTGCTTCCTGACCATTACAACTCTGCTAATAGTTAATATGCCATATCTATCTCTCTCATCATTGTGTGTTGTATTTTATTTGCAGGGTTTACAATCACACCTGTGACTCTCTGGATGATGGGACATGCTGTACTTTTGATCACATCCCACTTGTAAGGTAATACCTTCAAATTATATTTAAGTCTAATAATGAAGATTGAGCTGTCCATGTAAACATCTTATGTCTCTCATACTGTATTGTAATTTTACCTTCGTATAAGTTTTAAATAAAACTTTCAAATTATTGCATGCTTGTCATGCCATATTTCAATTTCTGTAATACATAAACAGATTTGTCAGATCACAAAGGGTGACTAACGATAAGGCAAACAAAGAAATTGTATTGTTTTCAGACAGACCTACTGAGCTTGCATCTCATGCCTATAGGCATATTAGGCACATCTATTGTAAACGATACATGTTGATCCTGTCCTTGTAACTTCCTGTGCACTCAATTGGGAGCTCTAACAATGTTTCCAGCTTTCTCAGCGATCTTCTGTAAGCTAGAATGCAGCATCCCTCCATGTAAAGGAGAGGAATGGGGATCTTTTTAGTCCAAATCGGGAGAGAAGCCTAGGGCTAGAACGCATCTCCTTCATAGATAAAGTACATTGAGTGCGTGTTGGAATTTTGAGGACATGAATCATTACTATCAGGATCACCAGGTGAAAATAAAGGAAGAAAAGTCTGAACAGAAAATTAATGCCGCTGCAACTGGTAAGCTGTAATTACCTTTTGCTTATTGTGTTTAGATACACTTTAACCAATTCGCAGAGCCTGCATGTTTAATGAGCGAATATGGTTGCCCCCATGTATATGGTAGGAGCACTTTTTAGGTAGAATTACAACTGCAGTTCTTTTGGGTTTAATCTCTTCCAGCTTTGTAATTCTGGATCCAGCATTGTTTGCACTTTCTCATTGACAAAATGTGTCTCAATAGTGTTTGGGGTCCCTTTTCTGCTGGAATGTAAACCTTTTCCCCAATCAAGTATTTTGCAACCTGATACAAGCTTTCCCCCTAGAATTTCTATACGTTTTAGCTTTGTCTTTATCTGTTAATCTTAATAGACTCTCTAAATAGAATGCTACTATCCCTATGCTTCACTGTGGGAATTGGCGTTCATAGGGGAGATGCAATGTTCTTTGCCCTAAGGCCAAAATTAAGTTCAGAACCTTTTCATATGCTTGTAGTGTCATCCACATACATTTTGGCAAACTACAAGCAAGGGTTAATCTGGGTTTTTTCCAGCAAAGTTAATATTTTCATTACTCTTTATAATGACCAGATTTGTCAGACAGGTAGGTTATATTTGCCTTTTGTATAGATTCTCCCTCTTATCTGTAGATTTCTGCAGCTCCTCAGTTACCACTTGGTTGCGTCTCTGGCTAATGCCATCCCTAATCAGCCACTAACCACATCCGTTCTTTTATTTTTAATTGACTTAACTTCATGTTGGCGATGCTGGTGATAGCTTATTATAACCCATTCCTGTCCTGATTTAAGTCTTCTAGATATGTTCTTCAAACTATTGAACTTTTTAGAAAAACAGTTTACTAGTGTGTGTGTGTGTGTGTGTGTTCATAGCAAAAAAGATTTATAAATTGTTAATGCCCAATTCTAGGTTCAGTCCCCACTTCCAATGCTGAACATGCTCTTTTTTATGTATATACATTTCTTTTATGTATACCCCTCCAGGTGTCTTTAGTTCAATCCAGTGATGTCACAGTTCCTCTTCCCCCTCTTCTTCCTCCAGCAGTGGGCAGATCCTATATGTTGCACTCTCCACAGCATTCTTCTGTGAATCCAGAGTGAGGATTCTGGACTCATTAAAAGCATCATTCAACCAGAAAAGTGGGGTGGCTTCGCAACACTGGATTAGTGAGTCTGGGGAGGACCGTGCTAGCTATTGGGCGAGTATAGCAACCAGATCTGCTTTTTTGTTTTTAAAGTGACATTAAACCCTCAGATTTTTTAACATAAACCAATACTGTAATGTGTGCCTTACTGTAATCCATGGTTGTTTCCCTTCTCTTTCCTGCAAAGAGAAGGGAAACAACCATGGATTACAGTAAGGCACACATTACAGTATTGTTTTATGTTAAATCTGAGGGTTTAATGTCACTTTAACCACTGCTAGGGGTGCCCTTCGTTTATTGAAGGACACAGTGGAGATCTTTAACCTCTTACCGATGGGTTTATACCGCCAACTTCAGGAGTAGGACACTAGGCACAAAACCATATCTTGGTTTAGGGGCAGGCCCACTGAGATATCAACTGTGTCCTTCAATGAACGCAGAGAAAAGGATTTTACAGTGAGTACAAAAATCCTATTTTTCATCAAATGCCTAACATAGGCTTTAAAACACATTGCTAAGATTGTTTAACATCAAGCTGATAACTTGCCTGCATATATAGTATTAAAAAAGTGTTGAAGATCAAGGTAGCCTTAGAAGAATTACTATATAGGTATATAAAGAAACCTCATCCTTTTGTTGAATCTCAAACCTGCAGGATCTGGCTTATATGCATTTGGCTTTCTGAGGGCTTAAACATTTTGGTATACTCAGCATTTTAAAATATCAAATCTGGACAAATTTCAGCACATGATGTGCCCTAGGTTCTTTTTGAGCAAAACATAAGTATCTAAACCTCTGTTTTTAACCTTAGCGGTGAGAAGTTTTTTTGCATGCTGGCTGAAGTGTGCTGGGAAACTTTTTGCTAGGTTCTTTTTGGTCACTACGACCAAACGAAATGCTAATATGATCATTTGTAATGATCCACATTGCTGTTGAGGCTTGTGTCCCAGAATTCAAGAACTGAGTGAAAAATGATCTACCATGTTAGTACAAGATCACTTCTATTCAAGAGGATTCATGCTAAAAGAAGAGCGAATATATTTTCCTTTGCAGAGGCCCATGTATTCTGCACTTCTGGGTCTGTAGAATAGCGGTTTCCCTACTGCACACTATGGTTTCTCCTATCGGCCCATAAGTCACTTCAGGATGTATGAGCTGGCAGAAAGAACCACTATGTGCGGCTGTGGGGGAGGGGGCCTGTGGGGGGGAGAGAGAAACGGGTATTCTCACTATCTGACATGGGCCCCTGGGTAGGCAAGTATATTACCTATTCTCTAGCAGGTATGCTTTTGAGTACAAGAGACACAAATTAGAACTACTGATAACAGAACAGACGGGTATTTCCCAGAAGTACAGGTATACTTCCAGAATGTGTGAAAAAATAGAATTGTTTTAGTAATCTCCCACCAATTCCAGTTCTGCATGACCCTTAACCCATTTGTCCTTCTGAAATGACATTGTTGGATTTGTAATGTTCCCTATAGCCTATGGCTGTGCTCATAAGAGCAGGCTATAAAAACAAAAACATATATTCTCCATGGCAGCTAGTTAGGTACCTGTTTAAACCTGTGTATGTTAGTATAATCCATTTATACCTGCATGAACATTACCACACTTGTCTAAAGTATGTACAAGCTGGCTCGCAGATCAAAAATGAGCATGCTGGTGAATGTGTCATATTTTAGTGTAGATTTGTCCAGGCTGTTTGACAAAGTCAGTCACCTTCAGCTAAACCTAACCCGCTACTTCCCATTGTCCTTTAATAGACTTTTTACTGCTATAGCAGGCTGATGCACCACTGGTTCCACACACCTGTCCATCCTCGGGATGAGCGCTTGTTTGCACCAGTAAGAAGTAGTAGCCTAACACTAGAGGACTGGATTTTCTTATAGCTCTATTTTATGAGATGAAAGTTTGGGAGTAAGCTTTTGTCTGGTGTTTGGATATCAGCAAGGTTATCATCTGCGTTTGGGAAATCTTTCCTATCTTTTCTGAGTTAATAGTTTTACAAGATAGAAAAATTAAGTTAAATTAAGTTTAGAGCTGCAACAGTTATTCGATTATCTACACTCTTTTTTTACTTCCACCGCGCCAAGCTTGCTCCCGTGATGGACTACAATCTCAATAGAAACTAGTAGTCCATCACTGGAGCCTTTTTTTTTTTTGAATCCGATTAATCGAACTTAATAATCGGCTAACTAATCGATTATGAAAATAATCGTTAGCTGCAGCCCTAATTAAGTTGCTTGTTTGGTGTTTCATTTAAAGTGACATTAAAGTCAAATTTTTTTCCCCTCCCCCCCATTTAAATGTTAGCACTTACCTTAAATGATGTCTCTTATTCTGATCTTCCTCTTCTTACCCCATGTTTTCATGTGTCCCTCTAGTGGTGCGGCGGCTCTCCGATCCAGCACTGACTGCTCCGTCCCTCCGAGTCCATAGACTTACCTTGCGTCTCTGCTCGTCTCCCAGGCCGAGAATCAGAACTGCGCATGCGCCCGCCCCAAGATCCTTTGCGGCGGTACGATCACTTCCTGATTCTCGGCGCGGGAGCAAGCTACGATAACGAGGTAAGTTTCAAACTAGTTAAAGCGGGGTTTTTTTTTTAAACTTCTTGGCTATATCTACTGCTTGCCAGCAGTAGATATAGGCAAAAAAAACGGAGGGTTTAGAACCCCTTTAAGGAAAAAGCAAACACACCAAATAGAATATGGGGTTTAGAGAGGCGTCATACCCATTGCACAAGTATAGTAAAAAAAACTTTTTTATTATATTGTAGGTAAAACATACAGTGAGACCATATTAATGGATCACAAGGAGTAATGAAGATGAATTATGGATATATACATGGTTTCCAAATTGGTATATGTATGTACTATGACTGCATAGCAAGGACATTCAGGGGGAGACTTTATCTTGATTTTAAATGTGTATATCAATTTTACAGCATTTGTATGTTCTACCTACAATATAATATAGTTTTTGTTTTTTTCTTCTACTTGTGGCAATGGATATGACGCCTTTTTAAACCCCATATTCTATTTGGTATGTTTATGTATCTAAACGGGGTGAGGTGCCACCTAGATTGCGCAAATCTGGGCTATTTCTTGTGTTTTTAAACTTAAGGAAAAAGCTTGTTTAGCTCGCTTATTTTTCGTAATGTAAAAAATGTGTGCACGACCAACTGACAGAACAACCTTTATATATTAATGCAAGTTACCATTCTGTTAACTTGCATGTTTGTGCCCGGGGGGGAGGCAA